CCCCCGCCCCAACGATACAACGATTTTACACTGTTATGCTTATCATTTTACCAACATAACATGGAAGGCAAGTGACAAGGTCTGACGATAATGCGTTAACGATAAATCGTTTACTTCTATTGAACGTGTACGCGTCTTCCTTTGGATGCTCGTGCATTTTGTTACGTTTACGTAGTTGCATGCATGCGCATCTCTGTCCTACGTTTGCGCTGTACCTAACGGGGTCGTACACACGCAGGCACACGGACGAAACGCAATCACGCATATCTGCTATTACTCGCCTACGTGAGAGACCATTGGATCTCATTATTCGATTTGACTAATCGTAACTGAACTAATCTCTTTATTAACGGTACCCGCGTTTTGAGTAACTTGCGGCGCGCGGATTCATTACCGTAGGAGCAGTTCGCCTATCGAAAATATTTATTGATAAAGGGGGAAAAAAAAAGAAGATGCGTTTATGGGACGCACTCGTGATTCTCTTCCGGACGATGATTATTTACGCAACCGGTTACAACGGGTCAATGTGTCCGGTAGCAGCTTGGATCGGTCGATATTGAGAAACACGCTTGAAAGATCGTTCGAGAACGTGGGATTGAAAATAAAAATACTCGGAATGAGAGTAACTACTTTAATCTCGGGAAGCTTCCTCAGTTAGCTGTTAGATCTTTACGAAGCACCGAAAGTCTTTTTAAGGAAATTTAGCGTATCGACGATACGGGATTTATCACGCGGGACGCGCTACATTAGATTTTGTCAAAAGTTTGGAAAAGACAGAGTTACTATATCGGGGAGCGCGAGATGAAGGAATTTTAATCCGAACGACTTGACAATCAGTCTACTCTCGCTGCTCTTTTCGTAAACTCTACAGTCCGGGAATCCAACGTCTCCCGGGATAATAAGTCACGGCCGGCGGCGCCTTCCCTCCCCTCTTGTGCGATGTGGTCGAGCCGCTTCCTACTTTATTTAAAATTATGAAGAAACAGCGAACTACCGAAATGGAGATTACTCGCGAAACTGTGTTGCGCGACGAAATAGATTATTGAACCGCGTAAAAGAACGATTAATAGAAAAATATATGAATAAGTACAAGTACCTCGTCTTGGCTAGATCGAAGTTGACTATGGGTTTCGTGGAGTATGTATTATTCGATGTAAACGTAGAGGAGGCGTCGCGACCTCCGTTCTGTTATACCTCGGTTGTCCTCGTTCTCTCGTTAGAGTCCATCGTCATATCCTATACTGGCTAGCCGATAAATTTTATCTCGAGAAATCGACGACTCGGTCGACGCTCAGCGAGAAGTAAAAGAGAAGAATGGCGCTTCGGACTGGTCGATTGTTATATATTTTTGGGAAAAAAAAAAAAAAAAAAAAAAAAAAAATTCTACTGCCGTGCCCACGTGACTCGACGTCAGAGGTATGCTGACGTGTATTTTCGCACTTTTAGGTTATCTTCGACGCTCGCTCGCTGTAGCCGCTCCGGCGTCTTCCTAGCCATTCTCGTCGTCGTTTATATTTAGACGAGAAGCTTGTCGTTTCTTAGGAATTATTACTGGTTCTCGCGTACGCTCAAACGGGGATGGTTCAAGAGAAAACCTTTTGCGGCTGCACGTGACGTGCGCGCGCATATCCCCATATCGCTTCTCCACGGAGCTTCTTAAGTAAGAGGCTGCATTCTCCGTGCTTATTCACAATCTTACGAATAAACACTATCTGGTGCTAATTGCTTTCAGAGATAACAATTGTGAAGATATGGTAGGTGTTCAATGATATTACGTACGGTGTCCGTTCTTATTTTCTTGTTTTTTTTTTCTTCTTTCCTTTTTTTTTCTTCACACTCAGGTTTCATTCCCTTTTCACAGTGCTTATAATCTCTCATTCGTGTATAACTTTGTCTTTGTTTATCGATTAAACAATTTTTCCTCCATCAGCTAGTTGCGACGAACAGTCACCGAAACCGGAAAATATTAGCTCTCGATAAAGAGATATTCGCAATAAATTCTTGATTGAATTATGAACCTGCTCGATTATCGATTCAACGAATACTTTCTTCCTTCACGTCTCACCTCACCTACTGATTCGCTCTTTTCGTATTTGCTCTCCCAATATGCATACGATTAACAAGCGCAAATGTATACGTGCGCACGTGCGCGCGTATGCAATCAGTCATTCATTAATATGCTCGCTATTTACAGTGAAATCAATAGGAATTTTCAACCTTACGAAATTGACGCCTAGGTATACAAATATATCATTAGAAATTATAAATTGTTTTAATGGCGAAGAATTCTTCAAGTCGTCAACGATAACACTGAGGCGGACAGTTTCCAAGGTTTCTCGCGACGTCGCCACCCTCGTCGATACGGAATGCGCGATCGCGGTGCACTGGATGCTCAAGGGCCTCTTCTCCTTGGAAACTGTCCGCAATTTTTTTTTTTTTTTTTTTCTACGTTTAACGTGCGCTCTCCCATATTTCCTTCTGCTTTTCTCAGATCATAGATGCGTGGCTTGGCACTTAATGGCTCGCATGCTTGTTTTTTTTTTTATCTTCCATCGTCCTTTCTCTCGATTATCTTAATTTCCGTATCTCCGCCTCGACTAGGAAACTTCTCTCACCAAAGGCAAATCACATTGATTGCGAGAGGACGATACACCGTTCCTCGACACTATCACTACTATCACGTCTACCATGTTCTCCATCGCCGCGATCACCCCCCCCCGCCCCCCGCCCCCTCACCATAAACACTACTATCACCGCCACCGGCCACCTCTCTGTCAGCACCAAGCATCACAATCGTCACTGCGATCGCAGTTGTCACCGACTACAAGCCCGAGGGAACACTACTGCCTTCTCCTGTGTCACGTTGACGAAATCTCAGGAGGGAAAAGCTTGTTTCGTTGCATGCGCTTTTGTACTAGAGTCTGGTTTCACGTGGAAGATCCGGTAGGCTGATACTCGGCGCCAAGAGTCCAAGTCCTTCCGGGGAGTCTGACAAGTCTTCGGGCAGAGCTTCGGCACTGGTGCCACGGAAGATCGGCTGTCGAGCCAACCCGCTCGCGTGGCCACTTTCGAACTCCTTAATCCGACGAAGAAGCGTCGAGGGCGGGATCGGCGGGATCGGTGGGATCGGCGGGATCGGCGCGGGTGGCCCGTCTTCGATGTAATTGATATGAAACCCTTCGATCACAGCCATTCCGTGCGGACTGCTCGACATCTCCGTAGGCGTGTAGTACTCGCTGTTTACGTCATCGAGACTAAATCCAGCGGCCAGGTCGTTGAGCTTCGCCTTGAAGTAGGTGTCCATCCCGACGATGTCGCTTGGGTCAAAGACCATGGAGTCACTCTTGCCGCAGGAACCACTTCGACAGTTGTCAAAGTAGAGATTCGGCAGATTCTCGAGCACCTTGTTCAACGTTTGCTGCTGGTACTTGTAGCTCTCGCGCAAACGTAATACTTGATGCGCACTGAACTTTCGTATCTTGTTACGCTGGAAGACGTAGTTCTCTCTGACCCAATTGAGCTGTCCCGTCGAGTAGTCGCGTACCCTTTTGACCTGTTGACAAAAATCGGGCAGATCCTTTATATCGTCGCCAGTTTAAATGTCAGCTCTAATGCCAGGTAAAAGATCGAGGATCGAACGATGCGATACAAACCTGATCGTAATACTGATCGCGCAGGGAAGTCAGGTGACTGGTCCCGTAGTCCCGAATGTCTCGTATGTGTCGCATTTGACCCTCGTAGCTGTCGCGAATCCACTCGATTTGCTGTGCACAGTTGTCCTTTATCCTGTGAACCTGCTGAGTGTAATTCTCGCGAAGCCTCTCCAGCTGCTGGCTCTTGTACTGCTCGATGTTGTCGAGCATCTGGTAGATCTGCTTGGCGCGCGGTGTCACGCCGACACGACGGCAGCAGAGGCACCACCTATTGCAGCCGCATCTAGAACGGCAGAAGGTCGCGTTTTACTCGTAGCTCCTACTTCTAGTACAGAGTGCAGTAATGTAAAGTGGGCTGGATGAATTGGGACTATTTCTAAAGTGACGCTGACGAACTGACCTCTCGAAGAGATATCTCAGGAACTGAACAAAGAGAGTGAGCAGGAGAAATCCGGCGGCACTGGCGGCGCCAACTCCGATGCTGATGATCTTGATCTGGTGATAGGTAATGGGATCCATGTGAAGTGTGACGTAGGTCGTGGCATTGGCAATGGGATTTACGGCGAAGCACTTGTAGAGTCCGACGTCCTGCCGCAGCAGCTGGCTGATGTAGAGAGACCCGTTGTCGTAGAGTGTTATTCGGTCGTCGAGCCGGACGCTGGGCGGATTCTTGAGGTCGTTCGGATGGTGCGCAGGAGGATGCTTGACGAAGGCATCGGGGAAGGAAGGATCCGGGTTCCAATGTAGAATCCTGAGCGTAGGTGTCACCCAGGTTATCGATGGCGCTGGATTCCCGTGGAACTCGCACTCTAGAAGTACCCTGCTCAGGAGACGATGCTGCCTGGTGGCGCTGGCACGCGCGAGCACAGGCGGACTGCAATTCAAGTATCTTAGGGTATCAATGGTGTCCAGGGTAGTTCCAGCGGCGCAACGTAGCCCGGTGTCGAAGGCAGCGCGGTGCGCGTGGTCCTCGGCCCACTTGATGAACCAGAACATGCGACAGTCGCAGGCCCAGGGGTTCCCCGCGAGCTGCAGCTCCGTCAGGGGCAGCGAGGCGATGTTCGCCGGGAGGAAGGCCAGCTGGTTGCCGCGTAGGTCGATCCTACGTAGGTTGGCCGTGTCGTCAAGGGCCTTGGGCCCGATCTCGCGCAACGGAGCCTCGCTCATGAGGAGGCTCTCGAGTCCGTCGAGTCCCGCGAGGTCGCCGTCCCTGACAATCTCTATTTTGGTACGGCTGAGGTGCAATGCTCGCAGCCGAGGCACGGGCCTCCAAAGCTCCCGAGGAACCGCGGAGAGCCTCGTGTTGCTCAGGCTTAGCCATCGCAGGCTCGACAGACCCTGGAACGCGACATTCGACAAGTTTGAGATCGGGTTGCCACCGAGGTCGAGGAACTCTAGGGCGCTCAGATCGGCGAACAAACCGCGTGGCAGGACGTCGATCGCGTTGTCGCGGAGGTCGAGGATTCGGAGTTCTCGGAGCTCCGAGAAGACGTGAGAGGGGAACCTGGTCAAACGGTTATCCGAGAGTCTAAGCTCGCGTAGGGCGCGATTAGGCTTGAAGGTGTGATCCTGCAGCCAGACGAGGAAATTCCCGGAGACGTCGAGCACTCGTAACAGTCTCACGGGTCCGAACACTTGGTAGGGTACGTCAGTCAGTCGGTTTCCCGTGAGGTATACTTCCTCCAGGGACTCGAGCCCTTGGAAGATGTGCTGCGGTAGGTTCGTAAGTCGATTCTGCGTGAGGTTTAGGTACTTGAGCCGACGCAGAGGGTGCAGAAGGTCCGGCTGGAGGATGCTCACTCGGTTTTCACCTAGGTCCAGTCTCTCGAGTTCCGGGGTCCCCCTAAATACTCCCGGTTCGAGTATCTCGATGCCACTTCGCGTCCAGGAGAGTGTTCGCAGGTTACTGCTGTTTTCCAAGGCCGCGATTGGTATCGTCGATGCTCGAACGTTTCTCAGGCTGACGTCGCGAACTTCGGCTGATAAACCCAGACCGAGAAAACTCCGGTTCTCGCAGTACAGCGTGCTCGGCCCATTTCCGCAGTCGCACCCTTTTATTCCGATGCACGGGCTCCGCGATGATTCGATTCCCTCGACTCCCGATGGCGATGGGGACGACGACTGCGGCAAAGTATCCGCGGTCGTCGTCCCCACGAGCAGCAGCAGCAGCTCACCGACGACGTTGACGGCGACGACGATCTCGATGACGACCGACCACCACGTACCCCGAACCACCACCCGCTCCCTCATCCCTCCTAATACCTGCAAAGTGATTGGATCCAGTAGAGCACCAATCTTTCATTCCGTTCCTTCTTCGCTATAGTTTCTTCATCTTTTTCTCACATCCATCCGCGCGCACGTACGCACACACACGCGCACACGTTCTCTCTCTCTCTCTCTCTCTCTCTCTCTCTCTCTGCAACGTTGCACGTGCTCCTTCTGTTCTTCTTGCTTTTTAATCTCTGTACGATCCTCTTTCGTTCTTATAGACTTATTGTTTGCATCTATGTTTACGTCTTATACAAAGTCAGCTGCTATCAATGATGATAATGACGACGACGACGACAGCAACAATGACAACAATGACGAATATAAAAAGTAGATGTGAGTAAAATCGTAAGGAACAGGTCTGATCGGATCGATAGGCTACGAGAGGGAGGCCCGTCTTTGACCGATTAACCAGTCCAGCAGCCGCGATCGGTCTTGAGAATCAAAGTGCCAAACGGCAAACCTACCTAATTCCTGACGACAGAGAGAACCGAGAGAGCTTTTGTTCTAACCGTTCGCAAGATATCCACTGGAGCGATTTACAGACGCACAGGTGGCAGCGTGTACAACAGGAAGCATAATGTCGCGTTTACGTCGCGCTTTCGAGCATCGTGCTTTACTTTGCCAACTTAACGCTTTACTTTACTACGCGATCTTGAAGCTCTTCTGCTTTTGGTACGTTTAACGCGTGTCACATGACACATTCGTGCATCCCGGCGGCAGACTTCCCGGCCGAGCAGCTGCCGCGTACCCGAGAGACAAAAACTGACTGACTGGCGGCAGTATACACCGACTGCTGCGGCCTCCTCGTGGCTCCTGGTTGGCCGAATGGCAACACTGCGCGGCGCCGACGCACAGCGCTGCCGTTCCTCCTTCTGCTACACCGTGAGCGCGCGTCACCCTTGCCATTCACCATCGCCGTCGCCATTACCGAGTCGCTCAATCTCTCTCTCTCTCTCTCTCTCTCTCTCTCTCTCTCTCTCTCTCTCTCTCTCTACCCACTATTGCTTTACTTTACAGGCGTCTCACTTAATATTTACGGATCCTTCAGCCTGAACCTCGGTTCAATCGCAACGAGGACGATCCTTCTTCGATCGGCTGAGAAATCTTACCTCTTCGTTCCCTCTTCGCTTCTACCTTTGTCCAGTCTACTGTTAGCCAAACTCTTTTCGTAACGGTAAATCCTCTTCTGAAAATCATTCCTCTCTCCGCCTTGAAAATTGTCAAACAATTGCTTCCTCGATTCTCCCTGAACTTCTTATCGGCACTGTACGAGACTACTCCAGGTAAATTGTGGTTGGCAGATGACCGTGCAGAGTCCCTCCTACTATCTCGACTCTGTTGGCCTCGACATTTTTCTGTCCTTCCTCCGAGAGGCAAAGCCACTCTGATTCTGCAGCACAACACGTCGAACACGAGATAAGAACGAAAAGACGATGGCACCGAGACACGTCTAGTCCGAAAATAACGAACTCTTGCATCAGAGTCTTCCTCGTAGCGTTCTCGAGGAGGTTCCTTGCCACTTTTTGCCACCTTTTTGCCACCTAGCCAGCGGGCGGACCCGCGTTTGCCAATCGACTAGAAGTCGCTGCGTCCTCCCTGCTGTCTAATGCCACTTACAATTAACGGAATTCAAAATCGACTTGCGATGTTTCGAACGAACGGCTACTGACTAAACTCTTTAAACTTACCTCAAGTTTAGCTAAATGTCGCGTAGGCGAAAGCGAGCGGATCGCATCTGCACCTGGTGTCTTTGGGTGCTGTGATCTAACCGCGCTAGATACGATCCTATCCGATCCTGATAAAATATTAGATTTTCCCAAACGCTTATCGCGTAAATTACACTGAGAACGCCGAAGCAAACAATACAGAATACGTTCTCTAAGGATGACGTTGATTGGTCGGTTAAGATGTTTTACGACACGCCGTATGTGTATAACGACAGCTTAAACGTGACAACAGTTGATCTTTGATACGCTGATTGTGGTTAGGCAAATACACTCGCTTGATCAAAGACCGAGAGGTTCGCTCGTCATTATACAGATGCGCGTCTCATTATTGATTCGTTATCGCCTCTCTCCTAATAACCTTTTTGCGGTTCTCAACTCGTTCGTATTCACATGGACGAATACAGGAAGTAAAACTGTGCTAGTGCGCCCCTGGTTCGATAATTAGCTCCAGCTAATAATCAGCTGCTGGGCGCAGTGTGCCCTGAAACTGAGTCTTGTATTTGTTTCTTTGGTTATTTTAGTACGGGACCTTGGCGCTTTTAGAAGCGTGTAATCTAAGAAATAATCTAGTCTGCGACACACTTGCTTCGTCCATGCTTCGCAGCCTCATCAAGAGGATATTGACTTCTTCCGAGGTATCCTTGCTATTCACAGATCGCGTCGGAAGGCCCGAGAAACGGATGGGCTGTGCATTGACGATGGTCAGGAAAATATAGCTAGTGTATTATAATATATACTCGATATTTTCAACACACCATTTCCTCAGACGCGTGCGGATTGCTCGAATGTTGCTTCGTTACCCTGAGTTTTTACAAGTTGGCAGATTCGCGGATTTTCATTGGTCGAAATCCAGTCGGGCCGCCTTGCGGCGTCAGCATTACGTAACCTCGAGAACGGTTTGCTGTCCGACGCCACGTTCAGGTAGGGCGACGCAGGTAGAACTCGGGCCAACAGGCAGGCTACCCGCCAGGTTCGACGGTTGGTTGCTACGCTTTGCCTGATTTTACTGTTCAGCTCGGCAACAGCCATACCGAAGCCGAAGCCAAAGTATCTAGGGAGCAGCAGCCGCGGCTGTGTGTGGTAGAATCGGTGTGCCTGGTGGCACCGAGTGGAGGGGAAGGAGAAAGAGGAGGAAGGGTGGGGAGGGGAGGGGAGGGGAATGCCGGCGACTCCGAGTTGCTGCGAGTGGCCCGAGCACAGCCGTCTGCTGGCAGTTTGATCAGCTGGGAGAAACGCGGCGTTGCCAGCTCGAGTCGTATGGCCTGGGACAGAGAGGCAACCGGATCAATATTAATCGAACTGGCAACGTCGTCGGGCCTTTATTTATCGTCGTCGTGCCGAGCAGAACTAGAATTCAACCGACTCTGCCTCTTCAAAAGACTCATTGCCAGGGACTGAGACTGGCTTAACCTTTTCTCCTTCGTTTCCTCTACGGGATTCTTCGTTTCTTGTTGACATTCTTCAAAGATTCATTTCACCGCAGGGACGCAGCCTCGATATAATCCTTACGTGACGTTTCCTCGAAAATATATCCTTAGCCTCGTTGAGCTTGTGTGTGTGAAGTTCCATGGAGCCGAACCTCGACGCCCCCTCCCCCCCCTTCCCGCTTTGCCTGTCATTGGGCGTTGTCATGGCGGCTCGGGGGTCGGTAAACAGAATTTGGTAGTAACAATCGACTCATTGCTGTTGGACGTAATTCAGGCTTACGTTTCGTTTTGCTTGCGCAACTTTAGGAAAATTCGAAAAGGACACCCTTGAAGATTTTGTTATTGACCTTTCCTAAAATCCCATAGAGTACATCTCCACACTTTAGTTTAATGTTTTTCACACTCTCAATAGTTCAGCTAGAGGTCAGCTGCTTCGTGCGTGTTCTGGACGTCGCTGCGCACTATCTCTCTGCTAGTCGTAGATGTTTTCTTTCTTTCAGTCAGTCATTCAGGGCACACAAGCTAAGCTTGAAGAGTAATGCATAAGTGAGCCTGGTTGGCCCGGATACTCTCTCCTCTTGAGTACCAATCGATATGGCACAAGTTGCACAAGGCGCTTGAAGCTGCTGGCATTTCAGGACCTGCTCAACGGTACCGCTTCTTGTACTGGCTCTGTCTTCCTCCTGAATGGGCCATTAAACGACAGGTATTCCCTTTCGACAGTTTACTCGAATGCAGAAACTCCACTTCCGTTTTAGCTAAAGTTCTCGATAGGCACTTGGAGGATTCTATGGATGTACATATAGAGAGAGGTACATGCTTCTCGTTCACGTGGTTCCAAAGTTTAGTCGTCTGACGGCGTAAGGGTCAATGGACCATCCAGAGGAGACTGCTGAAGGCAGTCTGTACACTTTACGCACAGTTTTGTTTATCTCCACGTGGAAATAGCCCTCGTTGTAAAATTACACGCGCCTCACGCACGAGCGAGCAGACCCCCGCATCGTCAGCAAAGCCTCACACACACATCAGTTGGGCCTTTAGACCATTGGGAATCTATCAGCAGAATGAATGGGACTTACTTGAGAGAAACTGATGCAAATTCTCAGAGAGTCCCAGAAGTTTCCCTGGCGCGTGTATCTATGTAAATGGTAGTTTGGTAATGACTCGGGTAAAATGAGATCAGTCCACAACCGCCATTTTCAACATCGAATAATCCCCAAGTCAGCACATGCATCGGAATTCTTCAATCCACAACGGAATGCTTATTGTGCTTGATTTATCGTCAAGGTATAGAGGCAGTTTAAGTGTCGACGCCGTTGGTCAGTTTTCGTGGAGGCTCTGTTACTCGAAGTGGAAGCGTAGGACTTCGAGACTAATCCCGCTTGACGTTGCACTAGACGTTAAAAGTTCATGGGTCGTGTAAATTGGATAAAGACTTTCAGGCTTCTGCGTCAGAGTAAAGAGCAGTGTTTCCAGAAGCGACTATCCCTGTGGCTTTCACGAGATACAAGTTCTAGCGTTTCCTGTTTTCCTACCACTGGTAGTGGAATTTCAGAAATTCACACGGTTTCGTTCGAAAGCGTATTGTGTTTCCTGCGAGTCGTTCCACTCGTTTGTCTTCAGTCGAAGAAAAACGGGGGGGAAAACGCACGGCCTAGCAGCGAAAGCAACACCTTTTACATTTCGCTTTTCCTCTCTCTCTCTTTTGTTTCTTGCCTTTTGTCCTCGAATATCGCGACCCGAGGTATCTTATCGATTCGTCCCCACCTCAGGGATTGATTAATTTTTTTCGATCCTCTACCCACTGCCGACTTTTCGTTCTACCATGATCCCGCCTCGAGGCATTACCAAAGCCTTTATTGTTACGTAAGCACTTGGCGGAAATTCGTGAAAGTAGCTGAAATGGTGAAACTGATTCCTTATCGACAACCTTGAACGGTTCGATGAATTTCTCGTTGGGTAGCAAGGTCTTCGGAAAGAATCGAAAGTCCGTTTATAGATGGCACAGTGACACGCGTGACGATATAGGACAAGGTAAACCGTATCCGACCGACAGCCATCTTTGATCTTTTATACGCGTTGCACACTACGGGATATAATTTCCAGATCCCGAAATTGCGCGGGCGGGCGGTCTATGGTAAGGCCTAGAGCATTTCATGAGGCCGTTCGCGTGAATCATTTTTTAGAATAAATTAGCGAGAAACTAACGGGAGTACGTGAGAGTTGCTAGTGCGGTCGAATTTCATCCGTTTACAATAATGGCGTGTTTGCTGTTGTGGCGAAGACGCCATCTTAGCGGTTGTGTCGTCGGTTTACGTGACGAGCGAAAGCAGGCTAATGGCGGAGGAGGCCCGACCGTGGCGCCATCTCTCGGCGGCTTTAGTAGCATTGCTATTATCAACAGAAATTTCCGAGAGATGTCGCTTCCATACAGAAAGTCGGCATAGCGCGGACTTACAATATGCGCAGGTGTAGCCCTCAAGAGCGGCGGTAAAACAAATTTACAATTCCAATTGGTTCTATCGTTTATGTTTTCAGTGCACGCACTTCGTTAAGGCGGGTGCAGAACAGGGTCTCACCCCATCCGACGTAGTCCTGGCGGCGGACATCACCTTCTCCTGCGTAGCCGATCCGCAAGCCGCAAAAGACGTAAGTTGCTGATAAATAGCGTGAGTCACGCCGACATCCAGGAGATTATGCTTAAAAATAAATGAATTGCAGATGGTCTTCGGGAACTGCGGAGTTCTCATGGAGATATCACCCGATAAAGGCTACGTGGAGATGACAGGAATCGACGCGGAGACCTCCCAGGACATCGCCGAAGCGATAAATGCAAAAGGTGGGCGCTATCTCGAAGCGCAGGTCCAGGGCAGCAAGACACAGGCGCAGGAGGGCACTTTGGTTATTCTGGCAGCTGGGGATCGGTCTCTCTTCGACGAATGTCAATCATGTTTCGAAGCCATGGGCAAGAACAGCTTCTATTTAGGCGAGGTTGGCAATGCGTCCAAAATGAACCTGGTTCTGCAGCTGATGGCTGGCGTCACTCTGGCTGGTCTTGCGGAGAGCATGGCTCTCGCCGATCGAGCAGGACTTCAGCAAAAGGACGTACTCGAAGTATTGGAGTTGACGTCCCTGGCTTGTCCCGCGATTCTCGATAAGGGTAAAGGTAAGGTCGAATCTTGCAACTGTTTGTACGTTTCATGAGATACGTCAAAAGAATACCAACTTATAAATATGCGTTCTTATTTATTTGCAGCTATCATAGAAGGAGGCTTCCCGACGCAGCTACCTCTCCAGCACATGCAGAAAGACCTAAGACTGTCGCTCGGCATGAGCGACCAGCTGGAGCAACCACTGCCATTGGCTGCTGCAGCGAACGAGGTCTATAAGCACGCGAAGCGCTTGGGATATGGCGAGCACGACGCGTCGGCCGTTTACATCAGAGCCAGATTCTAACGAGCTGTGCTCTGCCACTATCGGGCCTTTTACTATATCATATTTATTGCAATACCTGCCGTCGTCTTCAGGCGCTACAATTCCAAGCACGAACGCGAACACACGAGGACAGTGACGACGACCACGACCGGACGTTCAAATTTTTGATCGTTAGTAGAAGCAAAAAGAAGGCAAGCAGAAGAGGAACTAAAGGAAAGAGCTGCACGTGTTTTTCCGGTGCAATTATATATAGAACAGAGCAAAGAAAGATTCTGCGATGGCTTATAATATGCGGGGTATGTTTCACCTTTACCAATAGGCGCTCCTTCGATAATGTCAAAGAGCCCTGGAAGAGTAATTTTACAAGCCGAGCGTCCGGTTGATCAGCGATAACTGGTATTTGGGTGGTATGAGAACGATAGATATATGCCGCATGAAAATGATGGCTGGCCACGGTGGCTGCTGTGATAGCAGTTCGCCGAACCGATAATCAACAACAGGACTGTATGGACCCCCCCCCCTCACTTTAGCGAAAGAAAAAAATTTCAATATTGACCTAGCATGTTCAAGACTCATTTCCCACTACGGTATGGTAGGGTCAAATGTAGACTATAAGGATGGTCAAAAATGAAATACAAAACGAACTGTAATGGAGGACAAGAACGAAACAATATGTATGTGCTTTATCGCATCATTGGAAATGAGTATAACGACAAAAAAAATAAACGTCTCTTCTGGAATTGAGGCATGCATTTTTACAAGGACACTAATTTAAAGCTACTGGACATTTTTTCAGTTTTTTTTTTTTGATCGTATTTGACATAAGCATACGTGTTAACGGTTAATGGGAATTGTGTATCTTATTAATTCGAGTCGATCGAAGCAAAAGTAATTCGCTCGTAAAAGTCGAATTATGTGCCCTCCAAATGGCACTTTTACCTAAATTAATCATTGTTAGAGAGAGAGAGAGAGAAATCTATAATAGAGTGTACAAGACCAGATAATGTATATGAGATAAGCAGTCGTCGCTATCTTTGAAATCGATGCTCGTAGCACCCTTCGATTTATTTCAAAATGATTTTAAAAAGCCTCGAACCTTTTCAACATCGATCGAAATTCAATTTCGGAACGTACCCTTAATTGAAATTTTACTTTCTGTTCAGCCGCAATATCTATCCGAGATGCTCTTCGTTATGTCAGCTCCGATCTCTTTGATTGTTGATTCACTTGTAGACGAGAGTTGCCTATTTTTATGTAATAGATATAAACTATCTAATAGTTTTGCGTAGGGGAATATCCTAGGTGTAGAATATAAAGCAAGGCGAAAGTTTCGATAAAACAGAAGTCGTGAAAATTCACCTATAAGTTTTACATGTCAAAAGATATCCTGGATTTGTTGCCGTTGCTGTTACTACTGCTATTACTACTACTACTACTATTATTACTATTACTACTACTGCTACTGTTACTACTATCGCTACTGCTACTACTTGAAATACTTTTTCGACTCTGTGAATGGTACTAGGTCGGATTGGGTACACCCTGTTGACAAAAGACACCGAGCAAAAGAATCGACGCGGGATAAGATATCATAACATAGATGTAGTCGGCTCGCAACGCGAGTTCCACTTTCAGGGGCCATCTTCCCGCGGATTAGACTGTAAAGAAGTCCCCCTGTCAGCGCAACCGATGTCGCGATTCATCTATACACATAAAATAGCATAACATCAGAACGGCTATTGGCTACAGGCCATATCATATTCTATGTAACTAGACGTATATGAATAACACAGTTATAGTTTTTAGTTACAATAATAATTGTACACATAAGAAAAATCAATTGAACCATTAATAATACTATATGAGACACAGGCATATAAATATGTAGCTATACAAAGGAAAAAGGAATAAAGGAGAAGCAGAGTATGTGTGTGGGCCGAGTGCACATACGTACGTTGCATCCGCGATACGTGTTATATGTTTTGTCACGAAATACTGGTTTTTGAATAAATACATATTTGAATTATCTCTTAGTTTTTCAAGCTCTATATCCCTCGTTGGCAATGTCTCTTTAGGAGCCCACGTAATTCCTACTCCCAATTACCCAATGGCGGCACGTGCAGCTCAGCGCGTTTGACGTTCTTTCCAAGGTGGGAAAGTCCTTCCAAGTCCCAGCGAGCCCCACTCTGCGGTAGCCACGGCGTTGTTCCTGTTGCTGCTGTTGTCGCTTCTGTCGCTGGTTAGTGGTGTGTCGGTGTGGTATTGGTAATTTCCGTCACGTGTGACGTAGGACAAAAGAGAGGGGCAACTGGTAGGTGTAAGCAAGGAGGTAGAGGCAGGCAAACAGGCCGCATGCGCGACGTGCGAGAGAGAGAGAGAGCGATCTTCTGGGTGCGACCGAAAGAGAGAGAGAGAGAGAGAGCCAGGGAACGGATGACACCTGTGGCTTGGCCCCCCCGATCAGTCCCGCCGCGACTGTCCACGCGCCGCTACATCTTCGACGAGGACCATACGTTCGACGTCCACGTGACATCGTCACCCGAGGAACTACTCAAGCCTGGCTCTTCTGGTATCCATATAGTGTATCCGGTTTACACCTGTCATCAGCGACTGCACGGCCAGACTTTCGAAAACATCGTAAATAAGTTGACATGGCCGGAATCACGCGTTATCGCTCCACATTTCCTGTCCCTCGATTACCTTCGATTCCTCATTCGACTCTCTTGTGCGCAATTCCTTCCCAGCTCTCTCGACTTCAACTCAGATCCATTACCGTCGTAGTCGTATTCGCGTTCGAATAAAAGATGCTCCGCGCTCTCTTTATCTCGCACACAGGATCCGGCAAGAATTCCGGCCGCGGTTTACGCACGGCCGAACAGCCACCTCGAGAGAACGGAACGCGCTCCGTTTCTCCGACAATGCGCAACGCCATTCTTTAGGAAGCTACACAGCACTGTCATTTCGTAATCGCTGCACACACGACATCTTTCCCACTCGACTTCAGTGACTTTACCCCGATTTCAGATTTACTCTTGCGATACGCTCAAATTCTTCTTGCCGTTGCTCTTGTCGATTCCGCGCTGATTCCATTTTTCCCCTTTGCTCCAGTTTCCTCGGCTGTCTTTTGCTTTCGCACGGATTGCATAAATACGTGAAGAAGCGAGCGAGTCTTCGAATGACACTCCGACTCTCTCTCTCTCTCTCTCTCTCGCACTCACGCGCGCGCGCGCACTCTACTCCCGCCAACCTTCCACCTTCGACCTACTAATCGCCATACTACGTCGTACTCGGAGACATATTGCAATTTGCCAGCGTGCTTTTCGATTTTACTACGCGTCAACAGAAACAAGGAAAATACCTGAGTTTCGATGAATTTTTTTCTTTTCGAATTTGAATGGGATTTTCAGGAGGTGGAGGTGGAGGAGGAGGAGGAGGAAGTGCAGTGAGAAAAGTCGGTAACGCAGAGCAAGAGCGAGGCGCTACTCTTCTTATAGAAAGTCTCTAGCTTTCGGTGTTGTTAACTCGTGAGCCTAGCGAGGTTCGCTGCGCAACTCTATTTCGTGGGACGATAAATAGCTCGTGGGTACAGGTTAGGAGTCTTATGAGATTTTGATAAGTGTAAGAGAGCCGAAAGAGAGGAGAGGAATAGCGTAGCCGTGCGCGGAAGAGTGTGCTGCGAGGATCGAGTCGCGTCTGCTGCCGTGACGAACCGCTCGACGTTCGATTCTACTGATTCTAGCGCCTCGAGTCGAGCGCCACAAGTCGACGACGCGGCCACATTCCGAGACACGGATTCCGGAAGGTTTTCATCCAGCGAAGTAGAACGCTTACGGTACAATTTTCCAGCAAACTTTGAAACGCCCAGATCGCGCTGCTTTTTCTAAGGCCTCCAGCAAATTACAGCCAACGGTCGTCGCTTCGCGTCTTTATATTTTATTTATATATTTTATGGTAATTCGAGGATCTTAGCAGAATTTCGATTCTCCGTCGTAGAGTCATGTATTAATGGCCGTGGGTTTCTGCCGGCGAACCTGCAGCAGAACTGGACGTGGCTCGACAAAGAGTCGAGAGGCAAACTACGAGAATCGTTGGACCGAACTGCGTCGCGGCGCTTTATCGTGAAAGCGATCCTACTTACCGAGCGTCCTTGGATCACGTAACGCTTTTCCTCTCCGATCTGCCGTTCCATATTCTCCCGTGCGAGCGGTACCCTCTGCCTCTCTCTCTCCCTCTCTCTCTCTCTTTCGCTCTCTCTCTCTCTCTCTCTCTCTCTCTCTCTCTATCTACCTTTTGGCTTCTTTGTCTCTTTCTCCGGTTCCCGAGGTGCTCCGCGATAAGCTTAAAGGTTCCTCGGGTTCCGTCGAGCCGTTAGAGGGAAAGGAGCGATAATGCGGAAATCGAAAAGGCAGTGCTCCATGACAGTTCAGTTGGTAAATTCTACCGAAGCGCCACGGCGCTGCTGGTGGGGAGAGCGCGAAGCATTTTTAAAAGTGCTTGGACGTTTGCTCTATCTCTCGCGCCAATCAGCAGACGTCACACCTCGACACGGATGGACGGACGTCACATTTTCGAGCCTTCCTCGCGCGATTATTCGAGAAACTCGAACGTGAAAACATCTGGCCGTGGAATCGCTCTTTGGAAAAAGAGAGTGCTCGCGGAATTTGGAAAAGTGGCTCCTCCCGAACACGAAACTTCCTTTCGCAGGCTGGCAGCGCGAAGGCCTGTTGCTAAGGGACAACCATCGAGGACATCGTTGTTGCCGACTGTCATTGCATTGCGGACGGGCGCGATTACGGCTCCCGCGCCGTGATAATTTCTGGAGCGGCTGCTCGACGTTTCTAAAAACAGCAATCTTCAGATAAAGGCCCACGGAGGAGGTGCTCGCGATCGAGGCGTCTCAACTCCTCTCTCGCTCCAACTGCCCGGCGGGCTCTTCTCTGTCTGTCTCTCTCGTGCCGTTCTCTTACCACGAATACGAGAGAGACTGTCCCCGTCAGATTAACGTCGTCGGCAGCAGTTGCACCAGACACGAGTACGAATCCTCCTATTATACCGTCGCTACCGCCACAATTGCTGCTGCTGCTACTGGTATCGTCGAAGGAGTGCCATTATTGAAGCTTCTGCGAGGAGAAGTTGGAAACGTCCACCAGGAACTCGTAGCCGAGAAGTCGCTCGGCAGGCCAAGCGAATTATCGGCCGAGAACGTGTGGAGTAAGTGGAAACCAATGTGCCGCGTGTAGCTCACGGTGAATGGAAAGCTAACAGATCGCACCACCACACAACAGTGATGCAGTGCTGTAGTGTCAGTGCAAAGTGCCTCGTGCCCACCGCTTGGATTACTTGAAGATGAATTCCTCCGTCGGATATTATGACGATAGGAACCCACTGCTCAAGGGCACTTTATCCAGGTGAGTTTGATGCTCCCCACTCGGCTATTTCTCTATTTCTAATCTATAATATCTCGAGTCGAACTTTTTTTCCCACCCACTAATCGCAACCCTTCCTCCGCGACTGCTCCTCCAGATTGTATCTTCAATCTATCGGAATCCCACGTGCGCGCCTCCATATGCTTTTCTCTCCGATCCAACTTGCACTGGCCAGCCAGAGCGAGAGCAGTGCCTCGTCGTGGCACGTGTGCCACGGGCCTAAACTTTCCGAGGAAGGGACTGTCGCGAGGCTACTCGGAGGCTACTCGGAGGCTACTCGGAGGCTACTCGGAGGCTACGCGGAGTAGCCTCGTTTGCGTAGCCTTCGGGCACGTGCGAACCCCGAATTCAAGATGCCTGACGACAAGAGCAGGGACAGCAACAGCAACATCAGCGGCAATGACGCGGTAGGCAACCGTGCCGCGCATTACTAGGTCGCACTAGGTCACGCTAGGTCGACATTGGAGGCCTCTCTCGAGGTCTCTTTGCACGCACTACCTTCCCTCCCCTCCAGCTCCTCCCTCTCCGCCCCCCACTAGACGGTCCAACAGGAGGGAACGATCGACATTCCAGCAATTTGGTGAACGTGGCTTTGGTGGCTTTGGCCACCGAGGACCCCGATACGCGATGTGGGACAGGGTCGGCCGTGCAAAAATCCCAATCGGAACCTTCCGTGCTTCCCCGCTACCGTGTCAGGCCCCTGGGGACCTTGTGCCCCGGAATCCTTCTGCGATACTTTTCGATGCTATTTACCGAGATACCGTGTTCCTCCCGTAGGATTTTGCTTTTGCGCTTTCCTCCTGAACATCAAAGATCCAGGCAGGAATTGTGAGCCTGACGTCCGGCTTCGACTCTCGCGCAGAGCTGTTCACGGGGAGAAAGGCGAGGAGAAGGCTTTCGCCGTTGGACTCGCAAACCCGCTGACCTATGGGAAGTCTTCAGCCAGAGAATTCCGCGACTTCTCGATTTCCAAAATCTTCCATCGTCAGTGAAAGTAGAATCTCCATGATCCAGTTGCCCTTCTCACCCGTCATCCTCTTCCGTCGAACCGTAAACGTTCGAGCTCATCTGCAACTGAGCTCGCAATGCTCGAGGTACCTGTAAGGATCATTCTGACTCCTCGGCGACGTCATGACGGACGTTCCGGTATGTCACTCGCGATATCATGGATCAGCCTGCAGTCGACACTTTCACCCGCGGGTTTCTAATGCTAGAAGTTTCAAGTTTGCCCGCGCTCGCACGACCGTGCAACTTGGCAACTTCTCTGGTTCACACGAAACCGCCCATTTCTTCTCGATCGGAGCGTCTGCTGGTACAGATCCGAAATTCCACCGGTCCTTTACTGCGGATGTTCGGTCAGAGTGCTGTAAGAACGGCAGCAGCCACTTCGGTCCAGCTTCGACACAGTCTGTGTCCCTTTGGAATGTAAGCGCACTTGTTCCAACCTCTATTTACACGCTTCCACCGAAGCATCAAACATTTGAACAGCCGCCTCTAAGCGGCCCTAATATTACGTAGACGTCCCACTGGCTGCTGGTCGAACGGCCAACCATTGATCTTGTCTCCAATAGGGAACTTCGCTCTTGGCTGTAGTGGCTGTAGTAGAAGGTCGCTCCGGCACGTCTCAAGGTCTGTATACATCGCGCATCCATTGTCGCCGCTTCGAAAGATTCCCTAGATTCCCTAGATTCCCTGCAATTCGCTTATGGCGGTGCCGCTGCTGCGCTCTTCTCGTCGCGATAACCCGCTGCACGTTCACAGTGGAGCGAACGCGCGACCAACGTACGAAGCAGAAGGAGCGAGACGAGTGTTCCGTTAGTCCTCTGAGATTTCCTCCTGGGACTCATCCGGCCGAGTTATCGGCCGCGTCCGCCTGGCCTACCTGACGATTAAATTGAGCCTCTTTTCAATCGGTTACTTCCCTTTTCGTTCCCTCTCCTCTCCTCCTTGTGGAGCAGCTGATAGCGCTTATACTCGCCTAGTTGCCAGGGCGACGCGCTTGGCCAAAGAGTCATTTAAACGATCGAGGCAGGATTGGGGCATTTCGAGATTCATCTGGCTGGCTCCATCCCTTCGTCTCCTCTCTCTCTCTCTGTCCACGGTTGCACCTTCTGCCTCACCCGCTCGCCACCCAGTCTCCTCTTCCTCCTCCTCCTCTTCTCCCGCTTGATTAGCATAGTCGCGAGCAGCGCCGAGCACCAAGTAAATCTTGCTTGGACTGCGCAATAGAGGCGTCACGTGTCGGCTGTTTTGTTTACGTCGCAGCCCCGAGTGAAAGTTCCTTTCGGGATGGAAGCAAAGCCGTTGTGTCGTTGCTTGAAGTACGTTTCTCGGCCGATTCGCAGTTGGCCAACTGAAGTAGAGGTACTCGAGAACCGATTGCCCGTGTTTCTTCGTTTGCCGCTACGTTCGGTGCATTTAAATGTACTTCTATGTGTTTTTCAAGCACACGTGTCACGGGGACGACACGAGAAGGTCTTTTCGGAGACAGAACTCATCAGAGTCCGCTTGGGAGAGACCTTTGCAAGCCCCGCCAAAATGAAATACTCGAGAGATGTTGAAAATCAAAGCCGAAGCAGCAGCAATGACGATTCGCGGCGCCTTTACCTACACAGTCGAGATATGCACGTGGCACGTGTGTGCGATGCATGAAAAGAGGCTGTGCTGCGGTAGCTCCGCTACAGGCAATAGCTTCAAGGCGACAGCTTGCGCAGGCCAACGAACTGCGGTAGCTGAAAGCCGAGGCATCCAAAGCTGCCGCTACTTGCCGCTACTTGGCTCACTCCTCTCTCCGCTTCCCTCTAGTTATCTCTACCTGCGTTATCTCGTCAGTCTGAAGATCCGAAATTCCTGTCGAATCACTCGACTCGCTCGATTATTTCTTCCCGATTATTCGATGCGCTCTGAAATAATTCGGAGATACTTTGCCGAGCTTTCACATCAAAGTTTCTCCAGAAGAATTTGGACGGGTCGTCCGGTCGATTCTAAACGACTGCCAGAAATCGATTAGGTTTCGAAAAACTCATTGCCAATTCGCGTGAACCTCGCGAGTGTCCGTCGACTCGTTCCGGAATCGGGAGGATCCGTCCGGCCGCGCCGATTGGCTCAGTTGGTTCGTCGGTTGGGCAGCCGACTGCCTGTTTGTCCGTTGAGCCCGTTAGTTGGGTAGTTGGTTAGCTGGGTGGCTAACTAGTTGGCTGGCCCATTGGCTCTGGCGTCGATTCGTTCGACGAACAAGACCTTGTGGCTCGTTCCTCCGTTCTCCACCATTCTCCTCCGCTCCATTAACTGCCTATTAATCGTTCAGGATTTATTATAATAATTACGAACCGAGCGACACGCACAAGTGCGCCTTGGGAGGCAGGAACGAACGCTGAAAATCACGGCGAAAGCGTCGCGACGCGCGTCGATGAAAAGCGACGGCCTGTAGCAGTGACCGCCCGACGCTGACCCCGGCATACGCAGCATTTTGCTTCCCGATGGGTATCTGGGTCGAGAAATGGCAAACTCGCTAAATATATCCTCGCACTGGCCAGCCGGGCATTTCTTCGTGGCGTCTCGACACGACACGACGCCTTTGCGAGACGCACCATTTTCCTCTCGCCCACTCGTCAATCGACTCCACAATCGACTTGCGAGAGAGACGCCTCGAGAAGTTTGCTCTTGGGGCTGCGATATCTTCCTCTGGGCTGCTCCGCGTCAGCCTGACTCGTGACGTCAGGCGTGAGGAGCCACGAACGAGGATAAAGATCATTGGATAGACTCGAGGAATATCCAGCCAGGGAAACTTGCCAAGGGTAGAGCTGGTAGTGAATAGGAAATTCCGTTTGTGCATCCCAGAACAGTAGACACGTGGTGCCAGGACGATAAAGAGATAGGAATTTTCTGGAAACACGTAACACGTCTATAGACTCTTGCGAGTATTTCGGCTCCGTAAGGGATACGACGAGTGCTTTAGGGAGAAAGCGGATAGCCAAGTTTGCGCGCGTCCCTGCCCACCAAGAAATCAATAGGGTTCCACGTAGACAGGGACGACGTGTTCAGAGAAGCGTGGACGCCGTGAAAGAAAGGGAGTCAGCGGGCGCGTCAGGGCGCGCGTGATCAGTGCCAATGTATAACGCGTGCCGCTTCAGTCCCAAGAGACCACGAGAGATCTCTGAGGTCTCCAAGAGTCTCCGAGTCTCCGAGTCTCCGAGCTCTCGTTCAGGGGGTATCGGGCCCTAAGTAGATTCTACCAATCGGAGATGCGAAATCCTGTCTTCTTCTGGGAGAGAACAAATTCTCGGGAGCAGCGTGCGTGGAGCATTCGTTCTCCTAGTGATTATTGATCTTGCAGTGAAAAGGACCACTGATGGGAGGTTAAACCGTATTTCCATGTAATTGTAGCAGCGAGATAGGAAAGGCGCGTATAGATTGTACGTTGTCATATGATCGCGTAGGACGCGTAGGGCGCGTTTACAAGGCGCGCGAGACGCGTAGGCTGATGCGGAATGGGGTGACGTAGCGCTTGCGTGACGTAACGGAGAAACATGCGTCACCGGTGACGTCAAAGTCGGAAGACGAGACGGGAGGACTTCGACCTGGTTAGCGTTGACGGGAACTTGTTGCTGCACACCAGTTCTCGAGTGGATTAAGAAAGAGCGAGACACGCGACGGCGCTTTGAATCAACACGACTGCCGCAACTGAACTTTCTCGGCTCCCGTCTCGGCGACGTCAGCATCCCGTCGTCGGGACGCCTTCCAACAAAGAAAAGGGAAACCAGAGCCTGTCTGCCGTTAGAACCGCGGAACACGATAGATTTTGCAGATCGCATTCGATCGCTAATCGGCAATTTCTCGTGAACCGTAAAGACGAGATAGCTGGATGAAATGTCAATCTCCATTGCATAATCTTTTTATTAAACATTTCCTCGTTAAGGAGATCGATGCTCCCAAGGGCAGTTATCTCCAAATAAGCCAGATAAGATGCCAAGTGTTATTCGAGTCAGGCACGTTTCTCAACTGTCAGGCCTTATCCTCGATCGGCCGTTGTGACGCTGTTTCGAATTTTACCACGCATCGTGTAGCGCTGACTTGGCATAAAGCGAGCGTGTACGTACGTGAATAAGGCCCGCGAGAGAAATCTGAAAGAAAAACGGCCGGAGCGAAGGTCCTTCCAATAGCTACTGACAAAGGTAGGTTCATGGCGAAGCGTGATTCAGCTTAAGGAAAAGCGCAATTTACTGCGATGTCGAGCAATGGCCGACGGTTGCCTCACTCTGGGCCAGCACGTGAAGCTACGAGGGGCTATACCGTGACGTCAGGCGCCCAAGTCCTCTGATAATATGGACTTTGGGTTCTCGTATGTGTAATGGCAATGTTCTTTGTTGTTGTTGAGCAACTGAAAAGCAGGAACCGATCGAGCAGGAAACAGCTAACAGCTGGTTATCTTTGTTATTCTGCGGATTTCGGTGCAATCGCATTTTCCGTTGTACCGACGGATTAAGATAACTGCTTACCGTCTTTAACGGTGTTGGTAGAAAGTCTACCGACCAGGCGATATTGACTGACCGTTCGAGCTTGACCAAATTACGCGACCTGCTGATCGCAATGTTGCGCACAGCGACATTAATTCGCAGTTCGATGTTTGTGGCTGAAGAAAAGTGAGAAGCGTGTATATTAAAGAGTAAATGAATGTGGCGCGTGTACCCCGGCCTTTTTCCATTATTTCTCGGGGGAGCGTGAAGGCAAAGGGGCGATGAGCGAGAGAGAAAGAAGCAATAGGCTGGCGTGCGTCGCTCTGGACTGGTGGTCGAGCACGCGCTCGCCCGATGCACCGTTACGTCACGTATAATGCGCGTCGCGCCGTTACGTTCGCTGCGAGCGTGAAGCTGTTGCCGCCGCTGTGTCGTATTTGTGGGTTTTGTCGTTGGTTGTGTGCGAGTATGGCGCGCGAGGACGACGAGGGGAAGAAGGAAGCGATGGAGGAACGTTGGAAGGTATAAACATAGCCGAGTATTGCTGAGTCGGTAAGGCAGTTCTCTGGGGGGAGCCGCAACTGGCTGGCCTGTTTGCTGCTCGATGGCGCCTTGATGTGTCGCTTCTATGGTTGCTTCTCTTCAAAGTCTCCGGGGGAACGTGGGGATTGCGGGGAAGGCGACAGCTGGGAAAGACTCGTAGCAGCAGCAGCTCGAGGTTCGAGAATCGCCGAGTAATGGCGCTAGGAGTATCGCTCGAGTCGGTTTGCTTTCCACCTTCGCCGCTACGGTTGGCGCTCCGGCGCTGCCATGAACGACGATGGCAATATGGCTTCCGCCACCGCAAGCAAGTGAGAGTAGTCAAAGTGACATCGAATTATGGTGGAAAAATTAAAGGTTCGCGGTGCGTCGCGCGTGTGATTGTGGCAGCGCGGGTGCGCGCGAGGAGTCCGAGGTACCCTGAAACCTCAAAAAAGAATTTTCAAGCTTCGCAAACGTGCGATTAACGAAAACCGTGAGGGTGCACGCACGGGACAGCTATATATCGCGTAGTAGATTGTGCACACGAAAACACAACCAACCAAGAGCGCTGAGAAACGGCGAGGAACGTCGCGTCTCTGCGAAACTCGTCTCGCTTTTATGTATTTCGTTTTGCTCCATTTTATTTTCTCTATTTTTCTTCCACTATTTCCATTTTACCTTTTCAATTCTTTTGCACACGGAATCCTCGTTCAGGATTTCGGACATTCACACTCCTAGGTGTGTACTGGTGTGTACATTGTGCGGCCGTGCGTGTGTGAATTTGTGCTGCAACGAGACTGAGGCCGCCGTCGAGACGACGACGTCGACGTCGACGTCAACGTCGTCATTCGGTGTCGGCTGATCGGTCGGTATGTCCGTCGGTCGGTCGGTCTAAATATCTCGGTCGGTGCGCGCTTTGCCTCCATCGGTGTGTCGTTTGGCTGGCTGCGTGCGTCCATGCACGCTGGCATTGGACGGTGTGCATAAGTCGCACAGCGTGAGAGAAGCAAGAAAACTAGTGAACGAGTGAGGCGACGTTGCCAGAGTTTTTCCGTCGAAGAGAGGCGCATCGTGTTTCTCTTTCTTCATCTCTTGCTTCGCGCTCGTGCTCTTGCTCTCTCGAGGAAGAGGATTTTCGACCGAATCGAATTCAACTCCGTAACGAGCGGTTGATGCCATGAGACTCGAGGCAACGTGCGACACGTGACACCCCGACAGAACAACGAGCTCGCAAGCGAACGTCATGAAAAAGCCACGGTAAGTCCACATCGGGAAAGTCTCTGATCCACAGTATATCTCTCTTTATTTCGTACTTTTCTCTTTCTTCCATCTATACTTACTCGTTCACCCTGCGTTCTGTCGCAGACTCGTTCCTTCGTACTGCAGAGTACGACGGAGCTCTTTCTTCGTTCTTTGCTGCCAAGATTTTCGAATTTTACATCGAATCAGCCTGGTACTTATCTCTAATGGAATATAAGTTTTTCGCATCCAAGACGTGCTTCCACTGTTTCTCTCCGCTCTGCTTCTCTTTCTCTCATTTCTTTCTGCTTTCTAATTTCTAATACTTCCCTCTCCACTGAAGTCGCACCCTCTCAAGGAGTGTCTGATAGGAAGTAACTCCAGTGGAAAATAATGTGCACCTGCACCAAAGGAACAAGCAATGTGAAAAGTTACACCGAGATCTCGGCTGGATACTTTCCCGTACTCGCCAGAAGCAGTAGGACAGTCGAGCGAATGGACGTCGTCAGTCGACCGCGATGAGTAATTGTCATATTGTAATAGCCATACTGGCGACACTCAACAGGCAGCGCTACTGATGTCATTCCTCAAACGCAATCGACTTGCTTCAGCGAAACGATACTTGGCAGGAAGATGCAATTAGTCGAGGCAGCTCGCAGTTCTTTCTGCATCTTTTGACAGTCAATCGATAGCTGCTTCGCGGTTATTCTCTCGTGAGTCTCTTCTTCATCTTCCTCGGCAGTTCCTCTCTTTGTCGTTTGGCCACATCTCAATTTAAAAAACCTTCTCCTCGAAACTTCAAAGAAACGGAGTAGTCAGCTTGACACAGCACATAAGAGACACGAATGAGGAATCGATACGACAGGTCGCCGCGGCTCACAGGGACCCATGGGTGAGAATGCGAAATCAGAATCTGTTATTATGCGACGTGATAACCTCCATTACGATGATCATTGAATGGCTACCGGGCAGTCCGACACGTGACGTCGATCAAAGACCAGGAGTCGAATGATCGAAAGCAGTAAGCTGTGTGCTGCTGGATTGCGACTCGGGTCAGAAGGTAAAGAAAGGGAAGGAACGGAAGGCACCTCGGTAACTTGGAAAAAAGAAACTGTTGCCGATGTCGTCACGCGTTCTGCGCGCCAGCACTATCCCCCCGCCCCCCCACACGACCTGTAATGCAACGTAACCCGCTTATGTCCTTAAGTTGGGTATAGTAGCTCTGCTTTTATATTGAAATCGTCGAACGGAGTGTAAATATGTATACGTCGCGCTCTCGGACATCTACGAGCACAGGTCGCCCACTGTTATTCCGTTTCTTAGATAAGAAATGATGCTTGAAGTGACGCTGCTTCTGCTTCCCTCTTCGTATACTGTGTTCTTCGTCGCTAATCAAATGTTTCCATGGATAAGAATCAATTTCATACACGTTAGTCTATGCATTTGATTTCTATGGCCGAGCCAACCTCAGGCCGTTTATATCGAATAAGTCCATATATATGTAGCTGGATACGCTTCACTGGGGGAACGAAAGAAGTTTCAGTTAGACTAGTAAAAAATGATTCGCAAGAAAAAAAATAAGTGGCGCGTCGAGCGACGCTTTTTTACGCGTCCCTCCCAGTCGAATGCCCGCGCAAACGAGGGTAGCTATACGTAGGACAACTCTTGTTTGGCTTATACACTTTTTTTTCCCCCGGGGTAGCCGTTCGACCTCCAGACAACGTGGGGTGGGGGGCGCGGCAAGGAATCTGATATACTTGAATCTTTTGACTAAGCGATATAACGGTGGTGATTGGTACGTATGATAGTGATTTTTGAAAATGCAGGATGACAGTAGCGTTACGCTAATTTTCACTTCTTCGTAGCTATAAGCTCCCAGCTAGCTTTATTTTCCTCATTACTATTCGGATTGTTAATACTCGGCGGCACAGAGCTCCGATAGGATCACGATCAGAGATTAAGTACCGACAATGTGAGTCTGTGGACTCGGTGAGTCCATTGGATATTGATTCCGTGCATAATCAGCCCTGGATTATTAAAATTATTGTATTTATCCCGTGAGCGTGTATACGTACGCGTTACAGCCGGGTACTTCATCCCCCTAGAGTCTAATTGCTTCCTACCGTCCTCCATACCGTAGTAGCCGCTCGATATTCCGGTTGTCTCCGGCCTGGCTAAAGCCAAGTACATACTACTGTCCTATTCGCGCCTTTGAAATGCCAACGGGCAACGGAGGCAAAGACTTTCGAAAAAAACTGTTGAAGAAAACGCCAGGGTGACTACCAGCAGGACTTGCGCTCCCAGCCCGTTCTAACTGGCTTAGACGTTAATCGGTCTGGCTGCGGTGTGGCTAGAGGACAGAGTGTGAGCATGCGTGTCTCATTAATAGAGTGTGCCTCCGTGACCGGGTGAGGAGACCGACCACCCTACGTTCCCCACATACGTGGAAGGTTTGCGACCCAGTGCAGTGCTCACGTGCGTCTTCAAAGTAAATAGGACGCGAAAGCTTGCGACCTTTAAACGACGTTTTACTATGTCGAGCGATATGCTTATTCAGGGGACTTTTAACGTACCGTAACCCATTAGGAGATGGCCCCTCAATGTGGTACCGATGTTACGCGACTCGACCCAGACCTCCCACCTGTTTTCTTCTCGACTTCAGCGTTGCGCGTCTTTCGCATCCGCTCGATATAATCGCCAGTCTCGTCTGCTGTCCTTTTCTTCACAAGTTATTCTCCTTGATGGAACCTTACGATTAGTACGCATCGCCGATAGGGACGAAATTCAATTTCGTAGGTTCGAAGGATAAAAAGGCTTTTAAAGGGGCTGCAGGGGGTTAGGGTAGCTCGAAAACTTGGTCACTTCGTTGAATTGGCGTAAACTTTGTCTCCCAGGTAAACAATACGTTAATTGGCTCTCTTGACCCTTATACCTGATCCTTTGCCTAATATCGTTGCTGTTGCTCTAGCGTAGGGCAACAACGGGAGGGTCACAAAGTTCCTGCCCCGCTTGCGCGGGTCGTAATAGAGGGTGGGCACTTGCAGAATTTCAGTATTCTGAACCTTTTCGTTAACGACTTACCAGTTGATTGACCCTATCCCAATGGGACATTCAACGTTGGCGAATGGCCGAATGGGCGAATGAGCGCTTGGGCGTATTGGTAGTGCGTGAATGCTAGCACCGAATTGCTTTTCAATTGTGCATACTACTAATGTATGTATGTATCTACATGTTGTACACTGAGAAGCTTCAGCCTTCGTGTGGCCTCGGGTGACAATGACTCAGCCGTGAGCAGCCGAGGTTCCTGCATGCCAGGTAGAGTCCTTTGGTCCCTATTGACAGTGGGCGGCCTATCGTCGTACAAAGTCTTTTATTGCACGTCTTACGCCGGTCCCGACTTCTTGTTCCCTTTAACGCATTTTTAATGCGCTGCTCCATCCTCCTCTTCACTTTCTTTCTTTAGCCTCGAAGTTTTGGCTATACCAGCAAACAAACCGAATCACCTAACGGTATATCGTATGCGGGATTCCCAGAAATAAATTGCTTCTGCACATGTAACCAGTGTGCAATATTCGCTGCTGAATTGCGTGGAGAACCAGCGAAGAGCAGTAACAGACTATCGGGGAGTCGTGCAAGTGGTCCACGTGTACGTTTTATATTCATCGCGTAAGAAAATCAGTCGATGGGCGAGGGAGCTAGTGGATGATGGGCGAGGGTGGTCGGTGAATAAGGGAGAAATATGTAAATTGGAGAGATCCAGACAGTCTGAGGGGACGAAAGGGCGGAAGTCCGAGGTCCGTCTCGAACAGGAGAGCAACAGTTTGGCTCTTGGGATTCGGTTTAGTCGGCTTTGTTCTCTTCGGTGGATCCCCAAAATCCGCCTCAAGTCCTTTGCCCGTTTACCAGCCAGCTAGTCCTCCTTGCCTCACGCTTCGCAATGTTTTCACCGGTCGCAAAACACCCCGTTAACAACCCCGCAAATACTAAATTCTCAAAAAAGCACAGGTCTGCACGCTCCGGATACACGTGGCCAGGCTGGCGCCCTCTTGGGCCCCTTGAAAATTTGGCTTCCGCCGCTATTGGTTTCCTAGTTAGTTCCAGCGCTCTCTTCGTTCCCTGGTGCCTCCACTGCTTCGCTCCTCGATCCCTTAGTCAGTGACCCCTGATAGTCTCCTGTTATTCTCCCTGCTCCCGTCTCTCGGACGAATCCTGAACTGGCAGCACCCTCTCCTCCTCGCGCTACACTACAGGCCCCTCGTTGTGTCCCAATGTGCTATAGTGTCACTGGCTTAGGAGACCCACTCGTTGCTTTGGCCATTTGACTTCGGGAAGTTCGTTCGTCACTGTTATTTTTTTGTGCCTTCTTCCCTTCGTTTTCTCCGATCGACCATGCTTCTATTGAAAACGTGTTCGATGTATTGTGAAGTTACGCTCGTCTAGAGAATCGTGCGTGATGTCTGATAGAAGCCGAGGAAGAAGAAGAAGGAGAAGAAGAAGAAGTGCTTTCGTGAAAGAGACGCGATTGCAGAGTTACAAGGCTAATTAGTGAGGAATCCCTTTGTCGAAATTTCAATTGGTGAGTTAAACTTGAGTCTAACTTCAACCTTAGACGATATCGACTCTTTTGCCTCGATTTTACATGTCTTGGACACGTACGCTATCCTCGCTCATGAATCCCCATCAGCATGTTTCCCTGTAACGTAGGACATTTTCTTTTTGTATCTTTTTCTTTGGCCTAAGTCTCAATTCGGGATAATCTTGCACAGTTGTCCAATCTCGCGTAACGGCCCACTCTCCTCTTCTTCTACCTGTCACTTTTGGACTCTTCGAATTTCCTCCGACTAACCGGGTAAACATTTTAGGTACATGACGGATCATTGATTGATCATTTTCATTGTCACTTCGCGATCTTTAGCCCATCGGCTGCTGCACCTCCTCGCCATGTGCGAATTGCACTTCCTGCACGGTCGCGTCTCCTGGTCGAGCCTCTGGCAAAGTTTTACGTCGAAAACGGGTTT